CGACACGAATTCAATTGAAAAGGTAAACAAATCAGAAAACGGCAACGACGCGACATTAGCGCAGCCCCATCGCCAAAAGCTGTCCAAATGGCATGAAACTATGTCGACGGCTTGGTTCCTGTCGATGATGTCGTCCTCGTGGCTCTAGCTCCTGACTCGTAGCTCCAATCTGGTTTCGAGACCGGCGAGTGGAGGTGGGATTGGAACTGCGGCGAGTCCTGCCGGAAGCCAAACGCAAAACATTTCTAATTTCAGCGCTGATGTTGATGAATGGCGATGGACAAGAGCAGGTGGCAACGGCATCGGAAGCGGCCAAAACGCGACAACAAGCCACCCACGCATCCGCACACCCCGTCGACCACCCACCCATCCACTCATCCGCCCACAGAAATGGATGGGGACTCGGAGGCGCAGACGACTGCTATGGGTGGCGAAATGTCAATTGTCGGGGGCAAAGTCCCGCCCGTCGGGACTGCGAATGGGAATGGCACCGAGAATGGGGCAGTGGATATAGCAAATGGGAAAGGCCATTTGTCCAGGAGGCCTCGCGGTGACATGCGGAGCAACTTTGGCCTAAGGAGTGCACAGGAAGAAAAGTAACTTAACAAGTGGAATTCGGTACTTCTTTGTTTTGGTCAATTTGTATTACTTAATTATTTGGAAGTTTTCCGAGTCGAAGTATTAGTCTTACCTCCAAACTTTGAGTAAGAATTTATCTTTGGCTCGTGTTAAAAATGTTTAATCACTTTTGGAGTATCTTAAGCGTATTCAACAATAAATAAAAGGAATCGAACATTTTCGATTAAATTTTCTTTGTTCTACCTTGAGTTAATTTTATGTATTAACATCCTTTGTTTATAATAATGAAATATTAGAGGACCTTTTTAAAAATTATTGCCAGTTAACGAATTTTAATATTTCCTAATATAATCAAAATGTATGCATTGATAAATCAGCTTCAAATTGGCAGATATGAAAATTATCCGTGTTGAATTTAATAAAAACATGGTTTTAAAATACTACAAATTTAAATAAAATATATTACTTATATGATTTGAAAACCATGTCGTAAAAAATTCGCAAAATTAAGGAGCATGTTTGTGAACCCGAATTTTTTCTCCGTTTATGCCTGGCAACGGAAGTTGGTCGGATGTCTTGAAATGTTCGCATGGCTTTGGCACGCATTGTTGGTGGCTGTGTTATGGATTTTGGTTCGGACTCGAACTCGGATTCGCTGGCGGCGGCGCGTGTTCCTCCATTGTGTCCTTCGGTCGAGGATGGATACCCGTACTCGCAGATAGATGCCAGTTTGTCGGCAGCAATTACCGTTGATCTGGAGTGTTTTTTATCGTCACGGCTGTTATGACAACGGTTGGCACGTATTCCCACGTCCAACTCATCGCATTCAATTTGCTTGATTTCATTTCCGTTTCGCCTTGGCCCGGCCTTTGCCTGAGTTCCTTTTCTCGGGGGCTGAGCAAGTTGGGAAGTCCCAGAGCTGGTCACTCGGTAGTCGGGCACAACTATTTCCATTTTGATTGGGCACCCTGCTGCCAGCGGACTTTGATTTCTGTCGATGCCGCTGCAATTGCAACCTAAGTGTGCAATTTGATTTGATTTTTGCCCATTTTTGACAGGTCCTTGAGGCCCGCTGCTCGGCTGCCCGACTTCTCTGCCCGAAAATGTGGCCCCGAATTGACGTTTTGTTTAATATTCTCGAGTGTGTTTTGCGCTGTGTCCTCTGCCCGCCGGGGAAGCTCGCTGTCGGTTCTGCCAGGATGTGTGTGGTGGTGCCGATTGCGATTGTGATTGTGTTTGTGTTTGTGCAGGGCCAGGATATGAATTGCCGGGCGACTGGCGGAGAATTGCCCTGGAAGTGGGCCACGTGGATGATCGGGCCATGTGCTTGGCGCTGCATTTGGCCCTCTTCTGACACCATTTGGGATAAGTGGTGTGTTATCGTGCTAAACACGGTGCATGCTATGCCATTAACGATACGGCCAATGTTTGTGTAGAAATTTGTATATATCAATCATATCTAGCCCAATTATGTCAATTAAATGGCGGTGAATGAATTGCATGGCTTTTTAGAATATCAACTGGTTCAAATGGCCAATTCGTCTTTGGTTTACTAGAACTACTACCCAGTAGTGTCCTTTATTTGTCAATTCTATTGTCATGGACTTAACGAAAGCCAGAATTAATAAACCTTGGAAAATGTGAAAAATTTCTAAGGTATGAGCCCAGCATATCGAGATATTATAAATGAGGTGAAACAGAAAGAGAAGTGACTGCTGAATTCCATTGTCAGCGCCCCCAAATCCTGAACTATTTCATTTCATTTAATTTGATTTATTTGCTGGGTTTTTATTCTGTTTTGCTTTTTGCTTGTATGTTGTACCACTCCATTTGAGGCTAAAAGGAATGCAGCTTAGTGGCCGCCCACTTTCGGAAGCAGACCTTCTTCGAGCTCATAATGAAAACACAAATCCAAACTCAGTCCTTGAAGTGCCACGTCCTTGAGCCATAAAGCCTACTCTGAATAGAGGGGGAAAAAAGTGCGAATATAATTCCCAGCCAAAAGATTAAAGCCATAAATTTGGATTGGGGCTTGGGAAACGGTCACAGTTTCTTTGTAAGCAAGAGAGAAAATATAAATGGGAGCATTGAGTGCCATTTTAATAAGAGTTTAATTTAATTAGAATTTAAAGGTGACAATGAGATGAAACGTAAAGATTAAAAATGATTTTGGTAAACGCCAATTCATTTAAATCAAACTAATCAACTAATTAAAGTAATGTTTCCCTAACTTTTGTCAGCGACGTTAAATAAATAATAAATAAAATAGCATCATAAAAGTATTTCTAAGGTATTTTTATACTTTGCATGTATATTATCCATCAGCTTCACCAAAAAAGAGTCGACTTAGACGTGACCGCCCGTCCGTCTATCAGCTCGTCCGTTCATTTGCTGTTAGTAAAAGGCGGGAACGGGCCGCATAGAGCTACTATATCATATAGATCTTATAGGAACAATCGAAAAATACTTTTTACATATACGGGTATAAAAATGGGATGACCAAATCTTATAGAACGATCAACAAATTATTAAAAAATCAACAACTTTATTGAATTTAAGCACATACGTTTTAAAACCGAATTATAAAACGTTTATTTTTTGAAACATCTTTTTTAACATTCGGCATGTTAAAGTTTCCTTTCTTTCTTGTTGCACAAGTTTACCGGTTTTCGCACACCTTTTTAAATGATTTGTATTCGGTTACTTTTTCTCCGTTTTTTTTAACTTTGATTCCATGAAAAAAGTTTGTGTATTATCACTATTTCATGTATTTCCTTGAACACGAATATTGACTATGATTTTAGCGTCGTCCAAAGAAGTGGTGTAGCATTGTATAATTCAATTTGTATTTATAAAGCCCACCAAAAGCTTGTGCTTACACTCCATGACAACAGCAAATAAATAATTACTGATCAGTTTATCGTATCCGGAATTCGTCTTTTTCGCATCGAAAAATTTATGAAATTCATATCGTAAACATGCAACCATCTCAATGGTGGTTTCTAGAAATGAGTCTACTCTAAAAAGTTGTAATCAAAGGACTTAAAAAGCAAAGCCTAAATTAATAGAGACCAAGTCGTTTGTTCCACTTTAAAAAATGTAATGCTATAAAAGCATTAAAGTTGGGTTGCTATGGCTTGTAGGTAAGGAGTCTTTCTGTTTTTTATCAACACCAAATAAATTAACCTTAAATATCATGAAAACTTGCCTCTACGGCAGAAAACTTTCATTGCTTTCTTTGTGGGTTTTCTTTGAAATTATGGGAAGTAAAATCAATGCTATCAAGCCGACTCACAGACACTGCCACACACTCACAACGGGCCGCTTAATATCATCACGCATACGCCAAGTATGCACAGACGGAGAGCTTCGCCTGCTCTGCAATCTTTTCAAAAGGTTTTTGGTTAAAATATTTTACATACTTTTAACGCACAAAGTATGTTGAATGCGGAGTCTGCAGGCTGGAGGCTGAGCCGTTTCAAGAATACTCGGTAGTGGGTGTTAACGGGCGGTAAGCCATGCGCTATTGAATGAATCGCGAGAAAATGGCGGGGGGGTTGTGTGCTTGATAGTTGATAGTTTTATTATGGATCCCTTAAGTTTATTGATTAAGGTTGCTATGAAATATACATAATATTTCAGTCATTCTGTGAACAAGGTTCAAGTTTTTTGAGCTAAAAATTGCGTTTGGCATCATGGGTTTTTATAGTGTTCTGTCAGCCTTTAAATATTGCTATTTAAATCAATTATAAATGTTGGCATTTAAAACTACAAAAGCTTGAAATTTTTATGATAGTAACTAAATTAGTTCACTTTGTTTCAGAGTGCCTTCTTTTTATACCCGTTACTCGTAGAGTAAAAGGGTATATTGTATTCGTGCAAAAGTATGTAACAGCTAGAAGGAAGCGTTTCCGACCCTATAAAGTATATATATTCTTGATCAGGGTCACTAGCCGAGTCGATATAGCCATGTCCGTCTGTCCGTCTGTCTGTCCGTCCGTATGAACGCTGAGATCTCGGAAACTATAAAAGCTAGAAGATTGGCATTTTGCATGCAGATTCTAGGAGTTCCTACGCAGCGCAAGTTTGTTTCAAAAAGGTGCCCCCTTTAACGCCCACAATCGCTTAGATACGATTTTAAAAATTTAAATATTTCGGAAAAGTAAAAATGCAGTTTTATTGTGTTTATCAATACCTATCGAAATGTAGAAGAAATTTTTCAAATCGGACCATTCGTTAAAAAGTTATGCGTGATCAAAGTTTCTATCTCCATCTCCCTCGCACTCCCTTTACCTGAGTAACGGGTATCTGATAGTCGGAGCATCCGACTATAGCGTTCTCTCTTGTTAAAGGTAAACTCTAACTAAATACACAAGTTACACGTGTTGCTCCTGTTACAATATTATTTTTTTTATTGTGCAATGGCATCAGTGCGGTCATCGCTTTTTCCTGACGATGATTGGGATAAGGAGAAGAAGTCCTTAAGGGTCGAGCGAGCATGTTCTACTCGCTACCAAACAACGGTGGGCATCGCATTTGGGAGGCAAACTAGAAAATTGGATATTCCGATCCATGACAAGCGATCTTTGTTGGGCAAGAATGTGAAACGTCACCACGACGATCAGCAGTGTACAGGGGACTTTGATGAAAAATAAAATAGCCGGTACTTCACATACAAGCCCAAGTATGACGATCGCGATATTTGTCTAAAAGATCCAAGCTAAACCAAATTTATTGTTCCTATGTAATAGTTTATTAATTATTATTATGACATACTACTTACTATTTACCTGTAAAACGCGCTTGAAAGTAGATACACTCCGATATAATCGCCGGCTTAAAAATGAAATCTCAAAACTAATCGACTACCAAAATAACGCTCTGGAAGCAGCCTACTTTGTTAAGTAATATTTCCTTTTGTAACGTAACTCTTGATCAAAAGCTTCTCCTCACAGAGTGATGTCATACACCACACTGTGGCCAACCTATCATAGTAATATGAAAATAGACAATACTGGCCGAAAATTTTACCGGCTGTCGGAAAGGGAACAGACCCGTTTTGACTTTATTTTGACACATGACTTCTCCTGAAAGTGGGTTGTATATTTGTTCTAACAAGTATTATGCCATCGAAGGGCAGCACTATCTCATGGAAAAATGTTTTCAAAACAATGCCAATATATTGCAATTTAAAATGATAAATAATTTATGGTATTAATATGCGTATTCACCCCATAATAAAATAAAAAACAAATTTCACAGACAAAGATTTGCAACCTTTGTTGCAATGCAAAATGTCGCAAAGTTTGCCCAGACTCTAAAGAAACCGGAATAATTTTGCAATGTTAATTTATGGAATAGTTGGTAGTTTATTTTGCACACTCAAGAAGCAAGGAGCAGGCTAAAAACAGAAACATAAATCGAGGGACAGAAATATACCGAGTGTTCTGGGGTACATTCGATCTGCATAAACAGTTTCCGTTTCCCGGCGACTCATTTACATTGCAAGTATTGGGATTGGGCACTCCTTTTTGGATGTTATGCAAACCAAGAGTAACTTTGGACGTGGAGCCGGCGCTCCAGGTTCCCTATTCCCGGATCCGAATACGAATCCGTATCCGGATCTCCCCTGTCCGAGACCCCATCAACGCAGCCGCACTGTGGTCGGTCTGTCATTTACATTAAATATTAACCCAAAATGCTGATAACCCGCACACATTACAAAACGTGCTGAGGGGGGAGCGGAACTAACGGAAGTGGCTGCGAAAAAATACAAAATGAATTCTTTTTCGGCAGAGTTTATTTTTTGAAAAGCGATGGGAGACGGGCGAAGAAAACCCCAAATTTTTCACTTCACTGAATTATTCATAAATGCAATTTTTAGCCACAAATAAAATATAAGCGAACTCAGACGACGTGGTGGAGGCGTTGGGATGGGAGTGGCAGGGGGCGTGGCTGCGCGGAACTGCAGCTGCGCCCTGTTGTGTTCCTGTCGACTCAGACGTCGTTGCAATATTTAGTGTAAATTAAAAAAAATAATAATAAAAGAATAAGCAGTTGTGCCTGAACTTTTGCGTGAATTATGAACCCTGTTGTCGCAAATATTCTCAAGTTCTGTTGTGTTTAATTTTGTGGAAAATTATAATTTTTTCATATTTTCAGGAGGGAATTATTTAACTTATCATAATTTAAGGAAGGAGTTCTATTTCTTTCCAGCTACGTCAGTGCAATTTGATTCATAATAAAATAAATTTTTTGAAATGCTGAAGGTGATACTCTGAAAAAATCTTAATATTTAAAATGTAAATTTAAAGATTATTTTGAACCTTTCTCAAACCTAAAGTGCTGAAAAAGAAGCAACGCCTTTTTAGCCTGTTTCGCTTGCACACTGAAAATATATCAATCGCATGACATAAAGTATTTTTCCGTCGAAACTTTAGTTGGCCAACTTTGGCATTGAGCACTTAGATGGGAGTTGCCAAACTTTTCGATTTTGCGGCAACTTAAAAATTTGAATTTCAAATCGCCCTGCCCAATGAAACCAACTTGTACTCCCAGGAACTAGCTAACAAATGACTCTACTGCAGGAAATGCACCATGAATGAGTTTTGGGAGGCCAAACTTTGCAGGTGTTAAATACATCTGCATTGGCAGCTCCACAAAAACAGAGAAATCATGCACAGCATAAGTACGTTAAGTTCTGTGGCATCAAACAACCGAGAAGAGCCATTAAAATAATCGCTGCAATAACCGCATTTGGTGCGATTTGGTTGCTTTTGTCTTTCACCTTTTCTGAAGGAAGGAAGCAAAGCAGCGGGAAATTTGCATGCATAAGTTATGCGAAGTTTGGCTGTGGGACGAGCAGCAAACGTAACATATTGACACAGTAAACTGCTTAGATTGTCAAAGTTCGAGGGAGCTTTGGGCTCCTTTCCGCCTTTACCCCCAGCATTTAAGGTGCATTCAAGTTTTTGAGAGTGCGCGCAAACAGTTGGCCAAATCCTAAAGGGATTGCACTGCATATTTCTGGTTCTGGCCCGGCTGCTTCCGCGTGTATCTGTGTGCCAAGCATATGCATTGAAGTCCTGGCCAAGTCAGCACCACGTGTGTGAGAGTGGGTTCGTGTGGCTCACGCACACAGAGCTGCTCTATCGCTGGCAAGAAAGTCCTTTCAGTTCCTTTACTTTTGTGTGATTTTTCTCCCAGGTTTGTTTTTACTTTCATGCCACACCAAATGGTGCTGTGAGAAAAGCCGGAGAGAGTGCCACTATTTCTCTGGCGAAAGCGACAATTTTCCCACCAGCTCTAGGTTGTTCGTTTTTCACATTCACGGGAGAGAAACGGACCATGCGCAGAAATGCGCGAGGGAAAGTCCTTGCGAGACCTCTGGAAAGTGGTGGGACTTTCTCTTTAGAACTGGGAACTTATTCCCTGTTTTTATATGGAGAAATAGAGGTTATTGTTATTGTCGAGGTAGACAGAATTAAACATTTAAAAGACGCCGTCAATCAAGTCTTTGAAAACATGGAAACACCCTGAATTGTTTTCATTTGACGAATTTTATTAATCTGTCCGAAAAGTTGTAAATGTGAGTGCACTGTAACCTATTTTCAATTTATGCAATTAAAAATGTTTTGAGTCACTTATTTAAAAATCTTTTTGGAGAGCAAAAAATGTTACTCCTGTATTTTAAAATGAGTGCTAAAGGTGGTACCCCTTAGTAGAGTTCACATTTTCGAAAATTCGATCGAAAATTCCCAATATATATTACGGTTCTAAGACCCCACAATGTCGGTGAATTTGCCACTCCTGAAAGTCACAGTGGTCGAGTCGTAACAAGTGCCGTGCCCCAAAAACATCCCCTCGACCAGCCGCAAATGAGAGCCCTCAGCTGAACTCTCTTGGCGTAGGTCGTAAACAGCTGCAGCTGATGCGGTCGCCAGGATGTTTGGTCCTTCGGCTCCAACAGCAGCAACAGCAGCCCCAGCATCTCCTGCAGCAGCAGGGCTGTCCAGTTTAACGAGCGTTCCTGACCAACTGCAGCTTATGTGTTCAGGTTACTTGGCCATACGTCCACACACACTAAAGTGGAGGCCAAGATTTATATTTTGTCACACTTACTTGAAACGACTTTGGCTGCCACTTGTTCTGTGCTCTATTGCAGGATGGCGAGGCAGAGGGCTCTCCTGAATTTCCTTCATTGGTTCCATCGCCCTGCCATCATCATCGTCAAGTATATCGTTCTGGTCGCCGTCGAGGGAGTGTAGTCAGCAGCATTTACTTGCTGGCATTAATTTTCCTGCCATTACAGGTGTGGTTTGGCATCGTGGTGCTGCACGGCGAATGCGGTGCGAATCTTCTAACTTTAAATTAATGAAAATGTTAAGTACTTGAATTGGTTAAGTGAAAATACAACTTTTCATTAACAATACAATTTGTATGTAATCAAATAATTTACTTTCTTCATGCAGAACATTAAGAGTCATTTTCAAATACTCAAAATTACTTTCACAAAAAATAAAAATTGACCTTATTAAAAAAATCCCCTACGGCTAAAAGTCGAAAAACCTTAAAAGGATTGTATGTTCTTTTGAAAATAATTTTGCTTCATTAAGTCAAATCCTATACAAATATAGATAAATAAAACCAAGATCTTATTTGTCAAAATTTAAAATAATGCAATTACTGTCGAATGCGACCAATTTTGAATGCAATTTTATTTTACTATGATACAATTTACACACGGTAAAGACTAGTTCTCCGAAAGGCATCCTTTTGTTTTCACTCTTCCTAAGTTGATGAATATTCGTATGCACGCCAAAATAATACACGAAAGCTCGTGAGTCACAGGAGCATCGCTGACGCATTTGAACAGAAGGCAATGTAATGTGCATTTCGCCTTGGCCACTGCACCTGAGTGACTTTAAGCTGCGGCTGCCGCGACGTATGGCGCTGGTAATGATGATTTTGGCCAACGCCAGTGTGGCTGGTACAGTACACACTTTCAAAGTACATTGATACTCGTTCCCTGGCGACCCCACACACGCGTTTTACTCTGCCACTTTTTATTTGCAGCTGCCACTTTTCACGTTTCCCTTTACCGCTTTTTTTGCAGGTGGGACAGGCAGCACATGACTCAATTATCATGGATTGACATTTCGCAAAGGTTTTTCATCAATCAAGTGTGCTTTTGCCGATGCTGCTACTGCTGCTTGTTTTGGTGCAACGCGGCGGATACGTAATGGCTAACAGCAATTGCTAACATTGCACTAGCAATTTATCGTTTTGAGAGCTGGTGTGTGTCTGAACGACCTGGGGAAATAATTTCAGCATTCCATTTTGTTAAATTTATTTACTTTTCGTTGGGGGCTTAATTTCGATTGCATCTGTGGGATAAGCAATCTGTACGTTAAATGGAGTAAATCAAAGTAATGTATGGCTGACTTTAATATAGCCCACAATCCAGGAACGAGTTGATTGATTTTTCAAAATACAATATCAATACAATATCATTTGGAATTTAGATTTTACAAATGTAAGAAAATTAAATATTGTATTGACGATTATTATGTTGCATGCAAATAGCTGCTTAAAATTTAATGACTAAGCAAATATTTGAATTTTGGTCCCAAAAGTATAAACTAATATTAAAGTCTTTTATAATTGAAGAATTGCAATCCATTTAAACATAATATTTATATTATTGTTAGGATCATAAGCCGAGTCGAACGAGTGATGCCAGCTCAGTTTATTTTAAAAATCGTATACGCCCACTTTGACGCTCACAAATCGCGTAAGCCCTATTATAGCGATAAGTTTTTTTGGCTGAATATATTTATTTGGACAAATTTTATTGACACATCGAAAGTGTTCCAAAACAAAAAACATTATTTTAGAAGATATTAAGGTATTATCATGGTCAATGACGTCAACTTTTGCAGTCCAATTTTTGAGGCAAATTTATTTTGAGTTTAGCTTTTAGAGTTCTGTGGGCGGCAGTGTAGGTAGTGACGATGCGCACTGTGAATGTCTGAGAAAGCGACTACTAAATATACACGCAAAACTAAAAATCTGTTTCGATGGTCCGAGCA